CTGGCAGCACAGGAATAATAAAAAATAATGAATGAATAAATAATAAAATACCACCTCAAAGTTCTGCAAGATAGATCCTAAAAACAGGCTTTGCAACTGTACCTTTCATGAAGACAAAATCCACTCAGTAAAGAAATCCCATGTAGGGGATGAGAAGGAAGGATATCTCTGCTCTGAAGTCAATTCCTACCTTGACACCACCACAGTCCTAAGCTGCAAAAATGCCATGAGCTAACATATGAACAGTAAGAATTAGTTATCCAAGTAATAATAGCCAAGTAAGTTTGAATAGCCAGAGACAACTAATGGTCCTGCAGATGTGCACCCAGATCTCCCTCTGCAACACACTTTCTCCACCACAGAAAGATACACTGTTTTCCAAATAGCAAACAGTATACCTCTCTGCGGTGATATATTACTATTTTGCAAATAGTAAAATGGGATAATTGTGCCTCCTTTTGCCCCCCTCATTGTCAATCTGCTAGTCAAATTATCCCTCCCCACCAAAACAATGTTTTAGCTCAGCTGGAGAGGCGAAGAAGTGGGATTACAGATCCCCACTTGTGGCCAAGCACAGCAAACCAGTTTTGGGGCAGAGCCTTAAGAAGCCTCGAGCACATGTCCCAGGCAGGATCCTGCTGACAGTCACAAAAAGCAGGCGCAGGGAATGTGGGCAAATAAATGGGATTTTCGGGTGTGAGATGTGAACAACTTCAAATTAAAAATAATCAGGCAGCAGGACCACCCTACTTAAAGCAGCAAAATGAGCTGGGTTTGGTCACTGCCAGAGCACACACAATATTTGAACATATCTAATGGCTTTAGAGTGAACTTTCAAGTCGTCTTGTGGGTCGGGAAGGAAGAATTCATCTAATGTCAATCCAGCATTCTGCAGCTCTACTTTTAAATCCAAATCCATTATTTTATACATGTCTCGATGACATAAACTGGAATAATTCACAGTCCTATAAGGCAGATTAGAGTAGGCAAAAGCCTTGGCCAGTTGACTTCAGCAATCTGAAGTTTCACCATAGATTTGCCCTTGAAGTAGGCTGGTAAGGATGGCACCGCTTATGTAACGTGCCTGCATCACATGAGACAGAAAAACATATAGACAAGTGAAACTAAAGAAATACTCAGCTGTTTGGCAATAGCACTTGTCTTGCACAGACCAGGAAGAGACCTGGAGTTCCACCTCTGCATTAGTAAAATCTAAAATGATGAATGATTTATACCAGAGGCTGTTCTCCACTTTTACTGTGATTAATGGCAGGCAGGGGCATTTTTGCTGGGCAGATGGCAGCTGATGCAGGAGGTGACAGTGCTAAGACCTCCATCACACACAAGAGCATCATCTTGCTCCACAGAGCTGCCCACATCTGCAGCCACCACAGCAGAGGGCGAGGGCACCAGGATCCATCGCTGCCTGCATATTCTGCCACCCTGTTGTGTGACTTGGGGCCAGGAGATTCCCGTTCTGTCCCTAGAAAGCGGCAACTGGCCAAACCTGGGGGGAAAGGAGTGCAGGAGGCACCTGCCAAACCCAGCCAGCCCTGAGGCCAACCAGGCTCCCCGAGAGGGAGCAGCACTGGGGCAGGAGGCAGGTTACGTGCAGAGAGCACCCAACAATGCCAAAATAAACCCGAGGCAACTTCCAGCATCACACAAACCCCCGCGGCAGAGGCGAGACCGCAACCCGCATCTCCAGGGTGGCCTTTCAAGGGTGGACTTCTTGCAGTCCCTTCCTGAAGGGTCTCCAGCCTCTAACTCAAGTCACACCTCAGCACCCAGCACTTTGGGGCAAGAAGGTGGGACTCTCAGCGGCCGCAGAGCCGCAGCTTTGCACCAGCTTGGTCACTCCCTTGGTCCCTCCTGGGTTACCCCAGGCAGCAAGAGAAGCAGAAACCTCGGATACACACACGGCACTTGAGAACTGAGCTCGTAAGGCAGATGAAAGGCAGATCGTTAAAGGATGCATCCTTTCTTCAACTGCAGTAATTTTAAAGAAAATCATCCTAAAGGTACTATAGCCTGGCGTTTATTTCAGTAATTACAAACAGCAATTAACAAAACTTTTGTCTAAATCACTGAAGCAGTGCTAAGCCCTTAAAGAACACACACACACACACACACACACGAACACAACAATCTGTAAAAACAATTAGAGTGCAATAACATTAAACATCTCCAAGGATGACAAGCCATTTTATTGTAGGTAAATTAGACACATTAGCCATTAGTGGCTCTAATGACTGCCTTATTCCTCTTCTGACCATTTTGTAGTGCGAACAGTTCAAAACCTAACAGTTCCCCATCTGACTGGCTGACTCTTATTCAGCATTTGCCAGATATGGGATGTTTCCACGGAGGAGAGTTCGGTACCCTCGGCGTCTTTTAACTTCAAGAACACTAGGAGTGAGAGTTAGATACTAGTCCATGCTCAGTAACTCTGAACGCCCTGATCTTGAAGCTCATAAGAGAAACTCCGTTCAACTGAGGAAAGCTTTGGACCAGGAGCTCTTTTGTTAACCTTGACGGTATCCTCAGGCTTTCCCGGATTTGCCCTTCCTGGATTTGCCCTTCCCTCTCAGAGCCTCGGCGACCACCAGTACCCACGGCACGGCTACTCGCAGGACTCGGCATCACGCGGGGATCCCTTACCCCAGTCACACGTGCAGGACAGAGCCTGAGAGCGGGTTTTAAACACAGATTCACGCCAAAGTCAAAGGCTTAGCTCTGCCCATTTAGTTCCTCTCGTGTGCTGGATACAGCACAAGATGTACAGCTGGATAAGTACAGCACATAGCACTGGTGGAAGAATGAGCTCTCCACGGATCAATCCATGGCTACTCACACCGTACTTGCACTCAAAACCCAAATCTGCAAGTCCATATTCACACACAGAACCCTCACACAAGCATCAGGACGGTCTGGGCGCCTGCATCAGCAAGAGCGTAACCCCCCTCACGGTTTTCCTGCTCCCAGACAGGAGGAAGGAGCAGCCGTGGGGATGAGGCTGGTACTGGTAACTCACCAGCTAGGGTTCAACCCAAATTGCCACAGACGTTTTCTTTGACCTCACTAAAATTCTCTTTGATTCGGCTACAGTTACCTATTAAGATTCTCTTTGATGCAGCCACAGACCGTAACAGGGGAACGGCATTTCCTGATTTTCAAAAGTGTGTTTCGATAAAGTTAATTACCAAATGACAATAATCTACTCCAGCAAGAGGAGTGAAGGCAGATTAGAGGAGAATAGAGACACAAAACTATCAGACGCTTCTTCAACGTAGCAAGACTCAGGCTATTTGAGCACCTTGAAAGACCCCAGAAGACTAATATACAAAATGCTAATATGAAGGCTTGCATTTTCTCATACATTTTTTTAGCACACTAGTAAGTAAAAATTTATCCTCAATAAAAAATTGTTTGATAACCAGAACAGGTGGTAGGAGGGCTAGGAAAAAAATAGCAGCTAATGTGGCGATTCTTAAATATATAGTGTGATTTGATTAAAATGTGCTCAACATTATACAAGGCACTGCCACTTCCAAGTCCAAGCAGAGGACTGCCATATACCCATTCCTCAGTGGGAATACAGACCTTCCCTCACAGAAGCAGCTCAAACTTGGAGCTTTTTCTGTAGCAAAGAGCATGGCATCCTCTCAGGCAGGAATCCAACACTACAGAGCAATGCACTTGACACGGGCCTTGAATTTCTACTCATGCTACGAGAAGCAAATTCATGCAGCAAAGAAAAACAGATACACAGCACAATTACTCGCATATTTTGACATATTCACTATGCATCTCCAGCACACGTTTTCCTTTAAAGGCTTCCCTTTTTTGTTCCTTCCTCTTTCCCGAAGTATATTGATTTAAAGCTCGCTATATTTAGCGCTGTGCCAGCTATGAAACAATAGCTTTTTCTGAGGAAGATCTTGTCAGTAATCATCGTGCTTAGGGAGTGGCAAAACAAATGGAATAGCTGAAGAGTCAAAGAAACTTGGGTTTGTAAACCACACAGGAGAAACGGCTACAGATCAATAGCTTGCCTATTTCCAGAACATCTGACTTACTAATACAAAAGCAGGATATTAAAAATCCTTCCTGCATCACCTATCTGGACCATTAAAAAAAGGGATTCATTTACCTAAGAAACCTGTGCATCAGTAGCATAACAGGGGTAAGATGAACGAAGATCTGAAAACAGCAGCCTAATTCCTACCCACAACTTTCTTCTCCAGTACGCGGGGATGAGGACCCGACATCACCATCACCTTATGGTCAACCCTGGGCGACAGAAGGAGCCTCTTTGTGGCCCACGAGACACGACGGTGTTCAGGCACACGCACTTATTCATCGTGTCACCTATGTTCCCGGCAGCCCAGGGGGAAAAGAAGAAGGAGTTTTGGAAAAAATGCCTGGTCTGAGGGGAGTTTCTGCTATCCGGGCAGACCCGATGCACAGGGTGATCGCATGCTGGCTGCCGCTGATGACAAGCAAAAGTCGAGTTGCATTCAGAAAAAAAAAATACATATATATATGTGTGTACGTGTATTGAAGGACTTCGGATAAAGGACTTCAGATAAATACGCTGCTCTTTTTCTAAGGAGTCCCTGGGAATTCAGGTGCGGTTCATTCTGGCAATTCCCAAACACCTTTTGTGTTGCTGTTCCCGCATGGAGTTTGAGGAGCTCTTCCACTTGCTAGCTGGGAGATGTGGGGCAAAGGCAGCGCCCGCCCGGGATGGGGATGGGAAAGGGGATAGGGATGTGGAAGGGGGCGCAGCTGGCCGCTCGGCGGCGGCCGCCCTTGCGGCTCCCCCGCCTGCAGCGCCGCTCGCCTCCCGCTGCGGGCTGCCGGCTGCCCCGGCCGCAGGAGCGCGCCGCGCCGGGAATTATGGAATAAAGACATTAAAAAGAAAAAAGCAAAGGGGGGCCTAGGCAGGGAAGGGGTGAGGAAAGGGACGCGGAGTCGGGGTCCGGCGCAGGCGGTACCTGAAGAGGGCGAGCGCCGTGTGGTTCCTCCTCCACGCCCTGCCCTGCTGCAGCAGCACCCCCTGCACGATCTCCTTCTCGTCGGGCAGCCGGTACACGGGGAACACGTAAAGCCAGCAGAGCACAAAGACGCCCAGGGCGCTGGCGCCCACGGGCAGCCGCGTCCGCGGCCACTTCCAGGCCAGCCCCGCCATCGCCGCCCTCCTCTTTCTCCTCCTCCTCCCGGTCGCGGTGGTCTCCTTGCCGCGCTCGGGCATCAGGGCCGCGCCATGCGGGGGGCGCGGGGGGCGCCCGCCGGCGCCGGGCCCCGCCGCG